TTACACTAACATGCCGTCAAACATGATGAGACTTTTAAGATGAATAAAAATATATTGCTTCTGCATTTTTTTTATCCTGTATATCTGAAAATAATTTTAAAATAGATATCGTCAACGAGATACATAACGTGACGCATATCTCGGCATTCTTCATCATTCATTTTAAAGACAAGGAAACAATGTTTCACGAAAAAAATAGGTCAAAAATTAAAAAATATTTTTTTCTGCACCCACATGGATATTAGCTAATCTACGCACAGAATAAAAAACGAAAAAGTAGGCCATTGCGTTCAACTGAACGAATATATTTCATATCCATTCTACCTTATAAGAAAACTGCCTGAAAATGAAATCCGCCAATCACAGTTCATATTTTGGACACCCAACTACTATTATTTTTAATATTTTAAATAAGTGACAATCCTGTCAAACTAATTGGCACTATATTTTTTAGTTGCTGAGATTAAATGTAATTAAAAACGAGTGATTATTGTGTAGAATCGATAAAAAAATAATAGTTCACAAGATATTTCGTCTATATTTACAAATAAATCATAAATTTTAATTAAACTATCTAAAAGCAGTTTAATTAGCAGTTTTAAATAATATATTGTCATAAGTGTAATTGGCTCAGATATTAGCGTACCTGTCTGGCATGCAAGGGGTCAGCGGTTCGAATCCCGAATAGGTAAAAAATGTTTTTTTTTTCAAAGTTATTTTATTTTATAAATTAGAAAAAGTTATAAATTATTATTCAAATTCTGATTTTATCTTATTAACCTCTAAATTAATTTTTAAAATTTGTAGATTTTCAAGTGGGTCGTAGAAAAAATATACTGTACAACTCGAGTGGATTGTCCATATCGCACTCAGACGATTGAGCACTCTGTCATCGTGCTCAAATTTCGTCTTCGTGCGATATGAGAATCATATCCTCTTGTTGCACAGACTACTATTGTATTCATTTCTAAAAAGCCTTCTTCGTTTATACATTTTTTTGGATTTCACGATAATAAACTGTTATCCAGTAATTGTGCATTAATAATGGGGCACATCGTAGGGTTCAATTAAAATATCTAAATTTTTCTTGGTACCTATATATTTTCAGACGCTTTGGCAACACAGTTAAAGTCGTAAATGAACGGGTCATCCATGTTTGTCTGGAGTGTCAACTAAGCAGTCACCGATGCCAAAATAAAGCTCACTGGCATTGTATGCTAATTGGCTACCGAATGTGCTGCTTGGAAGCTTGAAAAATTAAAATTTGTGAGGTTATGTTAAATATTAGAATTTTAAGGTTGCGTATAAGATTGCGACCTAGCAGGAGTGTCACAAATAAAGCATCTGATTCGAACTGAAATTTTTCGAGAACCTATTATGATTCCATTTTGGAGAATTGATAATAATTCTACAGTAAATTTCTCTAAAAATTCAGTTGCAGACGGTGGTTTCGTTTCACCATAAAAAATACCAATGCTCTTTGGGGGTATGTCCATATTTTCCACTGAAAATAATATTGGCCAAATTTGTTTCTTAGAACTCTTATGTATGGGCAGTCCGTCAATGTTAAAGTTTAAAAGTACCTCATCAGGAAAATGTTGATTTAATTTAAATATTTCTGTCATTGCATTACCAAGTCCCCCATGCCAATAGTGACCATTTCCCATTGGCTCAATGGTAATTTTTCTTGGTGTTTCCAGTAAAATTCTGGGATCGTTTGGTATGTTTTCTATATTCATTTTATGTAACACTCCCAATAAAGCTTTCAGTGCAGTGTGTGGTATGTTAAAATTCAGAGCCCATTGCCGCAAAAGCTAAACGTTACTTTCCACTATATTATCATTATTCTCAGAATTGTCACTGTCCTCGTAATCAATAAATTCAAAATTGACTTCATCTATAATTTGATTATCGATTTCCTTAGTAGATATTTGACGAGTATTATCCTGGCGAGACGAAGAAGGAAGCTGGACCATATTGAAACCCAATTTCTTATTATTTGGATGCACACTTTGTTTACTTTTATTTAGGCGCCTATTATATGCACCGGTCCGTCCAAATTTTCTGAATTTTGATATTTTACCAAATAGCACAGTATTTTTTTCCATGACGCTGTTTAGTCCACAAAAAGGATTTGAGGTTAGCAATATTTGGTGATTTTTTTTTTGATTTTATTGCCATTTAAAATCCAGATTAATGCCAATATATGACTTCAAAGCATAGTTGTTAGCAAGCAGTAAATGAGGCATTAATGTATGCAATAATTCTAATTTAAATGCCAACTAGCCGCGCTTTTATTTGGCATTTAGAAAAGCAATTAATTCTACTTTTTGATTAGTGTCTGTGGCCTGTTGGCAATAAATGCCAATTCGCTCTTATATTTAGTAGTCAAAGCGATTTGACTGCTTCAAACGAATTCTCAAATAAAGCCTTAATCAAATGCTAAAAACGGGCTAATCTTTGGCCTTTTTTTCGCATTTAATGCTTGTGCCAGCATTATTTGCTAGTAGTAGAGTTTTGTGTTACTTGGGAAACCATACTCTAAAGTAAGGGTTCTGTGACAGTGTTATTTGTGCAAGTTAAAGTACAATGGGGTCTATTCTGTAACAATTCCTTTATATTTAACGGCCTTTAAAAATATGTTTGTATTCGTTAATTTACTTCTGTCATTATTTAAACAGATTTCTTTAAGATAATCCTCTAATGTATTTTAAAGATCCGTTTAAATAATGACAGAAGTAAAGAAGAAAATATTTTTAAAGGCCGTTAAATATAAGGGAATTGTTACAGAATAGACCCCAATGTGTCGTAACATAATAATATTTTACCGTAAAATAATAAGATGTTTGGAAGTCTAAGAACCAGATAGCAGAAGAAATAGTACATTTTTGTGTTCATTACATTTCTATTACATTTTTTATTAAAATCTAGTAAATTTTTAACACCCTTTCATAACAACGCTGATATCCCGGTTTAGTCATTGTACCTACCTATAGCGGTCAATGGAGAACAATTTGAACATTTATTGTAATTTTTGTATTTTTGTTTTTTTTTGTTTTTTTTTTTTGTTTTTGGTACCTAGTGTATCACAGTAATTGCATAACTACGTAACTTTATTTAATTTGTACACCAACTCAAACAATCTAGTACCTATAATAATGGTGTTTTTAGTAATTGTTATTTAAAATAATTTTCTTCAATAAAGATAATTAATTGTTCTTGTTTTTTATTCCTATGTTCTGTCTTTAATTTATCTTATCAATAATTTTCTTTTAGGCATAAATTTCTTTTTATCTCAACATTTTTCCATCAGTAATTTTACTCTTAAAACTGACATTTCATAAAATAATTTTATCTTCTATCTGGCGATTTTATGATGTCAGTTTTTCTCGTACACAATTAGGTACTGTTTGGCAAAATGTTTCGTTGCAAAGAGAAAGTTATCCGACAAAAAAAGCTCTTGTGTTTTTATATTGTCGACAAATATAATTTAGCCGTTGATCTGTCGTTTCTATGACAACCGCGCAAACGATTTTGCAAAATCAATAAAATAGACGAGTTCGAACATAGTTATATCCATAAAAATGAATCGATTTGGTGATGTTGCAGTTGGTGAAATTAAAAAAATATAAATAATAGTAAACCTAAGAACACAAGAAATAAGAAAACAAGTAGGTAGAGTCACTTTGTCATTTTATTCGGCACGTAACTACCTCATTGTGGAAAGGAACTGCAATATCTGAAATTGCCGACATTCTGCGAGATTATAATTAGATTTTATATTATATTTACCTACTTGCATTTATTATTTTGTTGTTACAACAAATATACAGGGTGTCCCGAAATTAGTCGGTCATATTTTAACAGCATAATCTACATCCTAAAATAGGAGTAAAAGTTTATATAAACATAAGTCCGAAAACATTTCTTTTCCGAGATACAGGGTGTTAAAAGTGAAGTCATGATGACACTCTTTTGTAAATATTTTCTAAACGTTTAAAGATAACTAAGTGAACTTTGGAACAAATGCTTACCTTTTTACGCTCTATTTAATGGACTGAACCCCAGTTTTGATCATCTTCATAAGTGGGTAAATTAGGGGGGGCTTAGGGTAAAATTGCCCTAAGCTTTTTTTGTTGACAGTTTTTAACATTTTTGACTATAAAATTTGGAAAACCAATGTTTTCTTTATAATAAAGCTACTGCTATTGCATCTCGCTAGGACGCACCATTTTCAAGAAAAAAGCATTTGAAAATTTCATGATAAGTTATTCGAAAGTGTAAACAATAATTAGTAGGTAGGCCTGTGAAATCAGAAATTTTATTTTTTTTTAATTTGGAAAACCGGTGACTAAAAAAATTTTAGAAAATATTTACAAAAATGTGCTATCAGGACTTCACTTGTAACACCCTTTATCTCGAAAACGAAACGTTTTCGGACCTATGTTTATATGAACTTTTATTCCTATTTTAGGATGCTGTTAAAATATAACCGTCTAATTTCGGGATACCCTGTATAGTAATAAACGTTGTTAAATGTTCTTTAACGTATTTACGAACGAATCAGTTAGGTACAAAATTATCTTGTTAAATAACTCTCAAAGTTTTTATGTCAGAACAAATTTCCGTTTTTTCTAATTTCGAGCTTCCTGCCTAAAAGCAATTTGACACGAAGAATTGGTGTCTGGATTTTGCTAGGCGACAGTTCTTCTCGTTAAATTGCTAGGCAAAAATAAAGGCATGTTGAAAACGAAAATTCGTTTAATTAAAAAAAACTTCTTGTTTTTATCCCCGAAAAATTTATAAAAATAGAACTGAGGTAAATAAAGAGCGCGCAAATTTGATGAGGCTAACTTCAACACTAAATACACCCCTGTCGCAACACTCACAGAACACGAAGATCAATATTGGTACGAACGTCACATCACAACAAAACACCACCAAAAATAAATCCTTAAAATTCATAGCCCTACAAACGATTTTAAACTATGCCTACTTACTCGTAAAAAAACCATTCTGTAAATGTAACCACTTTGTAAGTGAACTTCTGAAAATAATTAGTGCATTTTCTTTTGTCATTCTCTTCTATTTCCAATTTTTCAGACATTGTTCACGAAACTAAGACTTTTGTCATTTAAATTTTTCGGTATTGTTATTTCTACATCTTCCCACCGCACTGTACCGCGCTACTGGCTTCGATCATAACTGGGTTTTTAATTATAAACACTTGTAATTGTGTTATTGCGTTTATTTTTATGCAGCCCCGCTCGAACGTCTGACGACGGTTCAAAATTGAATAACCCGCACAATAACCCGATGTCGATTTCAACGTACAGCGGCGATTATGCACTGGAATAGACATAGACATAACCTCTCTTATCTCGTTTCGACCATAGCGTATAAACTGCACAGACAATCGTTTTTTGATTGTTTTCGGAAAAAGCTTACATTACACTTCCTCAGTTTTGAAGAGTTTCCGTTTTGAATTAAAGCATAATTTATCTATTTAAATAGGTTACTAATACTATCAATGATTACGTTATTGCCTTGACCGATAATAGGTTATTTTTAAATCAGCTAATTTGAGAATTGAGCCAGAATTGTAACTGATAGGTGAACAGATTGTGAAACCGTTTATAAAACTAGTAAAAAAATAGTGCCCAATTTCTGGAAAACTGAATTAAATCAATTGTTTTTATTTATACAGTGTGTGCCATAAAGTTGGATCCATATATTGGATTTTTTTTAATAATATGCTTATTTTAAAAACTTAAAATAACCCATATCAAAGTTGGCTGCTACTGACTTTATAGTTTCTGACAAATTCGCAATATTTTTGAAAAATCGTATGGTCTTTTTTTAAATGCGAATTTGAGAAATAACTATTGCCAATAGCCAACTTTGGTAATAATATGGGTTATTTTAAGTTTTTAGATAAGCAAGTGACTGCCTTACGACGTTTTTTTTCAATCGTAATATTAAAAAAAATCCCATATAGATCCAACTTAATGGCACACACTGTATTTTTGGAAAAGGATTTAACATTATTTTTATATTAGATAGGTTCCTAAAGGTCCGTGAACTTAGCATCGCGCTAAATGCGAATTTTTATAAAACGAAATTGGCATTTATTTCTCCACGATTTATCCACGTTTCCCCAACAAAAATTTTCGTTTACAAGCGTCTATAGTAGAATCGCAATCAACACGGAGTATTGAATCAAAATTTTATAGCACAAGCGGCTCAAAGAAAATCTGTGATTTTAAACAGCCGGCAGTTAGAAAGTGTGGTGATTTTAAGAATTTTACCTGTGCCGCCCGGTTTTCGTGAAACTTAAAAATGAGCTACCCTTATTTTAATCCCTTTTAAAACTCTGATAAGCGCACGTTTGCGTAAAAAGGGGCTATTTGTTTGAATTATTATTTTTTTTGTTGCTATTTTAATTTTAAATAATTGTAATTTAACCGCCGGGGTGCTTTTGTTTTAGGCGAGTCCCGTCGCCACTCACCCACAATTTTTTGTTTCTTGTTTTTTTTTGTGGTAACATATCAAGAACTTGGTAAATTCAATTTTTCACCACTTTTTTTGACATGCTCCGGTTTTGCTTGCGTTTTTGCAGTCTTGCACGGTTTTGAGCTTTTTTGGTGGTTTAGTTTCTGGCAGCGTTAATTGGGTGGTCTCAATCCGCGCCGTCAGACCCTACTCCTTTTTATGAATATAACATTTAGATATAAAATAGATATGCTTACCTACTTTCGAAGATTAGGAAACGTGAAAGTCTCTGAATCACTATGTTCACTTGATGTCATTATTTACTGATATTATTAAAGGTGGCACTGTAGTATCGACATTCAAGATTTTGTCCAGATTCCACATGTTTTGTTCTTTTTTTAAAACATGCTCGATTGCCTTTTGCCAATTTTCCTTTGTAACAAGTGATATGGAGGTTTCTAACAATGCTTCTACATCTTTTAACTTAACTGTCGTATTATGTTGACCTACATATCCTTTAACTTGTGCCCATATCAGTTTAATAGGATTTACTTTGCAGTTATAGGGAGGAAGACGCACAACATCAATACCACATGTTTTAGCAAGTTCATTTACTACTTAACGTAATGGAGGCTTATTTAATTTCACAATTTCTAGTAGTTCTATTTTTATTAATTTTTCTGGAAAGTGAATGTTTTTGTCTGTTAGCCACTTTATGATATCATCTTTCATCCATGAAGTATTTGGCACACGTCCAATTAGACGGGAATGGTAACTAGCGTTATCCATTACTATAACTGAACCCTTTGGTAAATGTTCTATTATCTGCTGAAAATATTCTTCAAAAAAATCAGCGTTTATATCTTCATGATAGTCTCCGGCTTTTTTAGATTGAAATATTAAAGAACCACGTCCTGAAAACCCGTCATCACTTCCAATATGAGTTATAATTAGACGTCGTCCTTTACCGGAAGGAAACTTTAATCCTGTAGATAATCCTTCCGAAAAAGCCTGTCGTGAAGATTGAATGTTTGTGTCCTGTCACATTTTGCTAACAATAGGTTCTTTCGTTCGCTATTGGTGTAGTGTCCACCAGTGTAAATTACACCAGTTACACCACCTTATTTACCCTAATTTACTTCCTCCTTATTCCTTATACACATCGTCGAGTGTAATTCACTCCTGCTAAATAGCTGGTGGAGAAAATATCCACCAGTGTACACCACATCGCCGACAGGAAGTCCAGTCATTTAAGCTTAAATTAGGTAAGAATCTCGGAATTCTAGATACCCAGCTGTAAGTCTGTAAATACTTGTATATTGACACCCTAAAAGTTGTCTTAAAACCTACATATGGTAGGGTGTACGCAATTTCAATATCAAAGGTCACAAAAATCGGTTTTTTGTGCTTTTTTTGTAAATATCTCATTTCCTATGGGTTGTTTGCTATTTGTATTTATTGTCAATATTGTAGAATACAAAATTCTCTACAAATTTTGTTTAAAAAAATTCAGACTACAGTAAGAACGTAAAAACTATGGAGCAGCAGAGAAGGACTGCTACACTTTCAAAAACGTATGAAGTCTGTTTTGATGAAACAATGGTTGTACCAGTTACTCAAGAAAAATTCTTATCAAATCGAAATAACAAAGATATGCTCATTAATATGTTAATTGAAAAATTACAAGCTGCAAATATTACTACTAAACAAGCCAGAGATGATGCGGATGTTCTTATTGTTGAAACTGCAATTGAAGAATCAAAGTCTGAAAAAACTGCAGTTATAATAGGACAAGATATTGATTTACTTGTAATTTTAATTGGGCGTACACTGTCTTACGAACAAGAAATTTTCTTTAAAACAGTTGGGAAAGGAAATGTAAAAACGGAGATATACTCGACTAAAAGTTTTGATAATTATCCTCATTCCAAAACACATATTTTATTTATTCACGCATTAAGTGGCTGTGACACAACTTCTGCGCTTTTTAAAAAGGGAAAAAAATCATTTTTAAAAGTTTTTGAGAAACTGACAAATTTGGATGAACTAGCTGCAGCATTTGAGGAAGAAAATTGTTTGGCCCAGAGATTATTAGAGAGTGGAACTCAAACCTTATTGGCAGTCTATAATATTTTGAAATCTGTGAAAAGTCTCGATCATCTTCGTTATATGCATTACGTCAAGTCTACAAAACTTAATAAACCTGTGCAGCTTTCAAATATTCCACCAACAAGTGCAGCTGCTCATCAACATTTCAAACGTGTATATTATCAAGTTCAAACTTGGTTAGGGCATGATTTTGAACCCCAGGTATGGGGTTGGGCAATGCGAAACGATTTTCTGGAGCCTATCATGACAATTTTACCATCTGCTCCAGAAGATTTGCTAAATACAATTTTCTGCAACTGCAAGAGTGGTTGTGGTTTGAGATGCGGATGCAGGAAAGCGGGCTTGCAATGCTCTTTAGCTTGTGGCCAATCTAATGGGCAAGCTTGTCTCAATCCTCTACCATATCAGAGCGACATTAACAAAGATGGAACCTTTGACCCCTAAATCATGGAAGAACTTGAGACAAATGTCGTTGAAGACGGTAATAAAGGCCAGTTTGAAATTTACCATCAGCCTGAAGACGACGGTGAAGAGGAAGAAGATGATTAAAATTTAAATTGTAGTTTTTGTACCCTTTATTCCATTTTTTTACTTTTAATAAAAAAAAATGTATTGAATGATATTTTTTAATAAAAAGATTAATTCATAATTTATTTGTTTTTTTGTTTCATCATCTAAGAAGTTATTAATATTAATTAGGTTAAAATTCAAATATAATTCCTATATTTTCATTAACAATTCTGCAATTACATGGGCAGGTAAGTGTTGTTAAATAAATTAATACTGAATAAAAAGTGGATAGGTTAGGAAAAAAATGATAAAATATAATATAATAGTTAATAAAAATTGACAAATATTTATAATCATTGATTTATCGATAGTTCATCAACTATATATGGCGCGTTTTCGACCGGAGGCACCGGTTGACCTGAAGTGATGCTGTGACCGCGCGCTCTCCTCCCTCTATCTCAAAAACAGTTCACCGTATGAAAAATTTTTTTAAACAAAATTTGTAGAGAATTTTATATTCTACAATACAAGATAATAAATACAAATAGCAAAAAACCCATAGGAAATGAGATATTTACAAGAAAGCACAAAAAACCGATTTTTGTGACCTTTGACCTTGAAATTTAATAAATGCGTACACCCTACCATATGTAGGTTTTGAGACAACTTTTAGGGTGTCAATATACAAGTATTTACAGACTTACAGCTGGGTATCTCGAATTCCGAGGTGAACTTACTATAATGACTGAACTAATAGTGGGTTTTACACCGGACCAAACGAAAGGTATGGGTGTGGGTTGGTGTAGTTCATTACTACACCCAGTGGGACGAACGAAAGAACCTTGTGTAACCTTCATTCACCCAGGTTTCGTCCAAATAAAATAGTTTTTTGTCTTCTACACGTAATTTTCTTAGAATCAATCTCATGTTTCCCGTAGTATTGTTTTTCCTATTTCAGGAAAATATGGATCACTATTGGTTCAAAACCTTGGCAAGTGTTGATATCTCTATTTTAAAATAAAATTCGTGAGCTTTTCTTCTTATTCCGCTTATAATTTGTTCAGTAAATTCCACTTTTTTCTTACCTCCTGCATTTTTCTTTGGGGGGTTTAACAACTTATTCACTTTTTAATTCACTTATAACTTTATATATCGTTGATATGCTTACACCCATCATGTTACTTGTCTTTTCAAAAGTATCGTCAACAGAAAACGAAGGTTATTCCATTCTTAGGCAATTATAAATTTTCCTTACAAATATTTTCTCGTTAACTAATAACACATACTTTTTTATACGATTTACAGTGGTAAACTTTGAACTTAAACCACAGTGCATTTTTCAATACTAGTCATTATTAACCGAAAATAACCACAATTTCTTACTATAATAGATAATATAGAAGCCTAA